GAAGATCTTTCATCAGTTCTACATGTTTCCATGTGCAATTGCAACTTAAGTGGAGGAGGTCTCTGCAGTTGTGTGACTGCCACTGCAACACTTAACCAGGAATGCGTGCTAGGAGCACCCTTCTCCTCCTGTCTACCCAGAATCACTGTGCATTTCTTTACAGGATGCTTCTCTTCTATCTTTTCTGTGACTCTTTTCCATGCCTCCTGAGAGCAATGCTGACCGTTGTTGGGGATTTTTCCTTTTTGCCTTCAGCACACAGAAGCTCTGTAGCCTTGTTAATTTCCAGTGTGACTAAGCAGCTCCAAAAGCCCGCTTTTTTGGCTTTACCACATTACTGCTTAAGTAAATCAGCCGTGCTTGTATTACCGACATTACCTGAATAGTTCTGGTTTGAACTGAAGCAGTTCTCAAGGCAGATCCCGGAATGGCTTCAAGGTTATTACTGGTCTCCTTAGGACTTCTTGAGGTGGAGACAGTATGTTGGCACTAACAATACTCATCAGAGCCAAAGCAAGTGACAGCTTCACTAGCCAGTAGTTGAGTCATTGAAATGAAAATCAAGTTTCACAACTTGGTATCTCTGCCTGACACACAGCCACCTCAAGATCTTATCCTGTTTTGTGAGTTAGAGCTCTTGGAGTCAGCAGAAGTGCAACTGAAATGGCTGTAATTAATTTGCAGTGAGGACTGTAAGATGGATGCAGTGGTTTATTCCTCATATATATCTAGAATGAGTTTAAAAGGTCCTTGTCTGTAATGACTACGATCTGTCTGCTGTTATCGTGGAGCGGCTCTCTAACTTCTGCTTTTGCAATTTGCTGTGTACAATGTGCGCTCAGAAATTATTCCTAAATGTTGTACAATAAAGGGCAACATGCTGAAAAGGAACCTGGAACTGCGAGCAAAGGAATTCTAGATTTAGCCTTCTCATTCAGCCAGAAAGGGACAGCACACAATAAAATCTGGACAAACTGTACAACAGCTGCATGTCTATAATCAGATTATCCAGTGCCTTGCTAGAATACCACTAAAATTACACAAACAAAAGCAACAAGTAAGCTGGAGTAACAAAGTGGTTCGAGGAAGCCCATACAAGAATATTCTTTAAATTGCTAGGAGGGCACAAAAAGGCTGCACACAATTACAGCTGACGCTGAAATATGGTGACTGAAAAAGAAAGAATCTTTAGGAGCAGTAACTTGCAGTGGATTGAATTTTGAAAAATAAACCTCTATCTCAGGTTACACTAGGGTATATGGGCGTTTTCACCCTAGATTAGAAGGAAGAATTAGTTGCCCTAGAAGCACTGTAGAAATGACTGTACTGCTGCTTTCTCCTACCGCCTGTAAAAGCTCAGAACAGCATGAGACACAGGAAACAAAATACAGAGCTACTTGTGCCTGAGCTATGACATTCTTTGCAGCAAAAAAGCAAGAAAATCAAAGTAGCAGATGTATGGAAGACAATGCTCATGATAAAATAAGATCATTAATTATCTACAGCAGTTGATTTCCCATGACTGGAGCATGAACCCTTTGCCTTTGGAGAGTAATTTACTGTCTTTCATAGGGCTGAGCTCTAACTGGCTGAACATGAATCACTGTGCTAAGTGCTGCCTCAAATGCTTCCAGAGACTAGGCAGAATACTTTGATTAATATTTTGCCAAGCAGTCGATTTTTTGTCTGCTGTGAGCATGTTTAGGGATCCTAGGCTGGCATTGTCACTGAGTTCTTGCAGAAGCTTTGATTTTCCTATTTTCTCGCCTTGTTTTTGCTGAAGTGTCATAACAAATAAGCAGTACTGCCATTGTTAGTAGTTTTTAATTGATTAGTCGTCAGAAGCTTTGCGCAAAAACTGAATTGGGATCCGATGCTAGCCTAATTGCAAGGAAGTCTTAGGAAAAGCCCAAGAAATCTGGAGTGGTGAACACAGCTGGAATTACAACATGCTCCCTCACTCAAAAATTTTATATTCTCAGGCTGCTTGGGGAAATGGCTCATAAATTATGCTTATTACTAGATTTTTATTTCGCTATTAATAACACCTATCCACTATTCTTTAGTACATGTTGTAAAGTCCAAAATACGGTTCGTGACACAGCGATTTTTCTTCCTAACCAGTGTGTACCCACCCTACCATAAACCTAGGTTGCAAAAAGAGGAGCCAAAGGCAAAGAGGAAGAGTCAGATTAGAAATAAGAAGTAGAAACTGGATTTCAGTCATCTAATTAGCAGTACATGTGTAGGGAAATGAACAAAACCACTTTAAATAGAAGACTGCTATGGCTGTGTCATGCCATAGCTTTTGCTCAGTGCCGGCATATTAGGTCTAATTAAGATTGATCCACCTCAAAAATGGACAGATTTGAAGCCTACGAGGCAGATTTTCATTCCTGTTCCCACATATAAACAAAAGCTTACCTATGACAGAGCCCCCCCGTGACATCTCTGTCATTCATTGTAGCACACTGATCGGGACACACCTATTTTCTCAGTAGGCTTTTTAGTCATCAGCAGCGTTCATAACACATAACACTACCCAGATGGTTTTGCTTCTTTCCTTTTCCTTCCACATGTCCTTCAAACACAAACATTAGCTCAGACTTTGTAAGAGTAACCTTGCAATTCTCTCTCGTCTTACCCCAAGGAGACCAACTCATTACAGCACAACAGCTACTCCTAAATCCTATCCTTGTCTTACAGCCCTCAGCAGAAAGTAAAACAGTCTCCAGCTTTCTTGCTGCCAAGGTGTCAGTGTCCCCCTGCCACACTCCTCTCCTTAGATTTTCCTTCTGCCCATTCCCTAGCCGTACATGTCACACTCCTCCTTATAACCCTCCTTTCAGAGCAAGCTCTTCAGGACTTTCAGCTCCCAGGTCTCTCAGGCTTTCGCAAAGCCTGACTTGAGCACTTAGGACAGAGTTCATCTCAGCAGATGATCCATCTGTAGTCAACAAGAGTCGTGGGGAGCAGTCCTCTGACCTGCTCCCCTCTGTCCACTTGAAAATTATCTCAGCCATAGAAATCTGTCTGTACTGTGGATGTCTATACTGGAGAAGATTAATCCAGTCCTCAGACCTGCCTGAACAGCCTGCAGCACTTCTAATACACTTTATGCATTTCTAATTAATTATTTATTTTATGATAATTCCTGTTATTGGATCATGTTACAGAAAAGAAGGAAGACAGTTTCCCTCATGGGCTGCATTACGTTTTGAACTAATAATTTCTTGTTGCTTCCAAAAGTACCTGCAGGAGGTTTTGTTTGTTCTGCACTGAAACTTTCCATTGCCTGAAGAGCTAGTGTTCTCCTCAGCCAAAAGAAAGCAAACAGTAATGTGGAATACAGAAGTAGTTCATGAGCTGGTTTTCTGTCAGTGGAACCTTTAAAAATGAGTTGGCAAGTGCTGACAGTGGTATTAAGCAATCCCAGCTCCCACTAGCATTATGCTTTCTCCCTTGGAGACATTCATTCTGTGTGTTTTTATTGCTATAAAACACAACTGGATCACAGCTATAAATTGGCATTTTGGAGACGGGGGAAAAAACCAAGAAAAATAAAAAAAAATAACAGGAAAAAACCCAATATCGTTATTTTCAACAGCCACAGAGAACTCTTCTGCTGAATTTCATTAAAATTTCTTCATTTTTCCTATTGGCAGTAACTCAAGGACTATCTTGTCATGGGAGTAGAAGAAAAAATATTGTGTGTATCCTTTTGCCCAGCTAGTCACCTCTGTTCCCATGGTCCTTGCTTAACTGTGTTAGCAACTGACCTGTGATATGAAAGTTACGGTAAAATACTGGTGCTGTGTTCACTGAGTTATTGGGCTACGGATAATATTTTGCCTGGATTTTGGTAATCAAAACCAGCTGTCCACCCACAGTAAATTCAGCTGCAGATGGCACAGTAAGCTGCTGTGTTCTAAAATAAATGAAGTTCATTTTGCAATTCTTTGAATTCAAAGGCTTTCCTTCTCTGGATTTCCATGTGCTCTTTTTGTCCTCTGTCTTTTCTCTAGATTGCATGTGAGTACCCAAAGAGATGGGTACTATAGTGGTCATGGTCATGATCTGTGGGGGTTACCTGACCCACGGGTGTGTAAAGATGGTGACCGTGGGGTTCTCAGGATAATGCAGTACACAAGGACACAGAGGTCAGGGTTTCTGAGAATTTCTTTGTTACACATTACTACAAAACTACTATTAGTAAAAACAAATAAATATAAATATAAATATAAATATAAATATAAATATGAATGTAAGTACAAATATATGCTACAAGTCACTACAAAATTGCCACTATGAAAGCAAGTATATATATATTACAAGGGTAAAGCAAATATATGTATATTAAAAGTTATTGCAGAATTCCAACTGGTGAAGCAAGTATATACTTATGAACCTTTACCTGCGTGCACACTTATAAATATATTAGGCAAGGTGTTTCCAGTATGACACTCACCAAACCACTCACAAGAGTGGGGCTAATTGACGATGAAAGAAGTCTCACTTCAAAGATGGTCCACATCATGGAGTCCGGAGTCAGCTAGGTGTCCCCAGCAAGGGTCCGGTCTGTCCAGAAGATCTCTTGCAGAGAAGCTCATTTTGGGTAGTTAGCAAGTTACTTTTTATATGTTTTTGGCATAAATACCTTTTTCGTAGATACATAAGTGGGTGTAGGACACCAGGTCCTGGAATAGTTGTTGCTGACTCCTGTTTTCCTGGAAGGTCAGTTCGTTGTCACAGTTTCTTTGTCCTGCACCCATCAAGGGTTTCTTTGTCCTGCCAACTACTCCCCATCAAGGAGGTTTGGGCTGAGCTTATCAGGGGCTGAGCTTATTAGGGATGTCTTGGGACTCTAAGGAGATATCCTTCTTTGTCGGTATGTTTACTGGGTGCCCTTGTGGTCAGCTAGTCGACTGTCAAAACTTCCATTCTTCTGTGTGTGGAGTAGAGAGAGGAGCACACAAAGGCAAAAGGTGTAAGAGGTAGAGCGTGAGGGATGCCCCCACTCTGACTGGGTGAGCAGTACTTTGGTTCAGGCATCACTGACAAGGAGGCCTGGCTGAAATCAGCCCTGCTGTGCAAACCTTGAGAACTGTGCTAGGCCTTAACTTCTCAGGGGCTGAGGAGTCTAGGCCATGTCTTACCAGAAGCTAACAGTACCAGCCTGAGCTGGGACTAGAGAAAACTAAAAAATGCCACAGCTGCACTCCTGCACATACACCAAACGGGGGGGGTTGACTATGAGTCAACCACTTTACGCTATAAATATCTGTAGCCCCCCCTGAGCCCATTGAGCTCTCCTGTACAGCAGCAGGCTGCACGGCAGTGACGTCCCCTTGAGCAGGGACACCTCTCAAGGTTACTCCTTGAGGCTGAGAGACCCCTGACCCGGCATCTAATATCTAGAACGAGGTAAGCAACATTTTACATTAGTCCTAAAAGTATATTGTATGCTAGCAACATTTATATATCCAGCTATAGCTTCATTGTTAGAAATGTAGTAAGTAGTAGAGTGTTTGACCACCATCTAAATTATCATTTAAATCATCATTTAAATCATTGTCAAATCATTATTAAATCATTGTTTAATTACCATTTAATTATTGCTTACTCACCATTTGATTACCATTTACTTTTCATTCTATCATCGATTAATTATCATTGGATCATGGTTTAATCATTAATAAACCCCTTTTACTTAACCCCACAACAATGACTTCTCTTAATAATTCACTTGTGACAAGGTGGCACTTAGTCTGCACTAGGGAGATGAAACCATAGAATCATAGAATCATAGAATCATTAAGGTTGGAAAAGACCTCTAAGATCATCGAGTCCAACCGTCAACCCAACACCACCAGGCCCACTAAAAAACTCCTCCGCCAGCTCCCTCAGCACTCTCGGGTGGATCCCATCTGGCCCCATAGACTTGTGAGCATCCAGGTGGCGTAGCAGGTCGTTGACTGCTATCCAGTTATAAACCAGTTATAAAGCCTCTCCAGCAAGAAGATCAGAAGATTTCTTTGAGTATATCTAATGCTACATCTTATGGTTCCGGCCAGGACCATCCTCCAGACCAGCTTCCCAGTCTGTGGAGACCTTAACCATGTCAAGTGTGGTGTCTTACACAGATGAAGGGCATCATCCAGAGCACACAAGACCAAGCATGCACAGTACGTTCAGATGCTCCTAGGTAAACTCAGAGGGATATCTAGGGGCTGTCCAGAATGACAGAATGATGGACAAATGAATTGAGAGAGTGTGCTGTGCTCATGGCCTTTCCTGATACATCTCTTTCAGAGCTTTGTAGATATACTCTTTTTGCTAATACACTCCCAAAGTGTCATTTGCAACCAGCCAGCAATGGTTAGACTCTTTTTCAAGAGTGTTTAATAACCAGTCAGAGATAGTTCGACCTAAACTGGTGTGCTATTGTGGATACCAACAACCGCAAACAGTCCCATTGCGTTTCTCAATCCTCTCCCGTGGTAAGTGACTTTTCAAAATCTCTTGGATGGCTCTGGTGGCAGCTGAGAGCTGGGAACCATGAAAAGGGGTATCCATGCTACCTTGCCCCCAAAACATGTCCCAAACTAGCATGGTCCGCAAAGATGAAGAGTAGTTCTAAATTTTCAGCAGCTCATGTGCCTGGTTTAAACAAGTCATTGTCTGATGGGAGTAAATTACGTGTAATGGATGTCTTCTGCTAATGCTTTTAGGAGGAAAATTAATGTGATAGATAAATAGTATTTGGCTAAAAAAAGCAAATGCTGAAGATGATTCACTTGAGCAAAGAGGTAAGGAAAGTGGGAACCATTTGGGGCTGTCTTAGGCTGTGGTTTCCTGAGAAGTGCTGGCTTTGATTTTGCTGTTTTATATTTTAAAATAGCAGAGCCCCTAAGAAACATCCTGAGCCAGAAGAAATCTGTGTTGTTAATGCCAAGCTTTTCTTTCAATGAGCCAGACAGAGGCTTCTTACCTCTTTATAGTAAATCAGACTAAATACAAAATCTGTGGGTTTATTTCTATGTCCTGGCATTCAACGTAGTAAAACAACTAACCAGCTTAATATTTAATGTTGGTGAACTTACAGGGTTAAGGTTAAACTCAAGAACATATCTTATACTAAACTATTTTCTTCTCTTCATGGTATATCAAGTCAGTTCACGCCCCAAGTAAAGTACCAGGTTCTTATATTGTACAAGTTTTAGAAACAAAAGAGAACATACAACCCGTATGCATCCTGAGTTCAAGTAATTCATAGTGACAACAGGTGAAAATCCTTCAAATAATTTGACTTGTCTCCACTGCAGCTGCAGCTTTTTTTTCATGAGATGTCAGGCACAGGAAAGGGTGATAGTGTAAGAAGGCTGTTGCCAGCCTTCCTGTGTCCCAGCATCCTATCGGAAGAAACAGCTTCCTCTGAAACACCCAGACCTTTCTGCCGCACAGTGCAGAGCTTAAGTCAACACTGTAGAAAGTAACAGTTAGAGATTCAAGTGCTGGAGTCCCCTTAATTATGCAGCTTTCTGATTCTAGTGCCCCTTGTCTTTTTAACAGGGCTTTACCATTGTATGTATTATTTATGATCATCATTTTTATAATACTGCATCCCAGTCATGTTTTGTCCCATTATGCAAAGCAATGGGCAAACAGCTGTGATGTACACCTTTGCCCAAAAGAGCATGGAATACATGTAGAATTAAAGGTGTTAGCAAGAAATTTTTATATGGGAGGACAAAGATGGCAATAACAATAAATGAGGATGCTCTTTATGGTCTTCCAAGGGAGACAATGCAGTTTGTTCCAGGCCCCCTGATCTGAGATAAATCTGTTTATGTTTTGATAATTTTAATTCTATAGAAAGTATTACTTCTCAACCTTTGTCTTAGACCTTCGAAGCTCACCAGATCAGCCAGATTTGTATAAAGAAGAGGAAAATTTGAGCAGGACCTGCATGGACAGTCAGAGACAGCACTTTGAAAAAGATGGTATTATGGTGCTGAGTGAATGGCGAGAAGAGAGTTTGTATCAGCAGGGAGAAAGGAGTGGAAGAAAGGAGGATGGGCTAGATTTCTGGGGCCGCATCAAGAAGAAAGATTAAGAAAAGTGAAGTGAAATATCATTACAAGTTATAGCAAGGCTGTGCCTGCAAGTGGAGAAAAGTTTCCTCATGATCCCCTGCAAAAGAGCAACCAAAAGTTTTAAGAACAAGTTTGTGACAAATGTTTGAGCTGGAATCCTAATTCAAATGCGACATTCAAATGTCATCGGGCTGCTGTGGCAGGGGGGTGGAGCGGTACGAACAGCAGCTGCAGCTTTGACTCAGAGGTTAATCACTGTTTTACAAGTGAGTGTAGCTGGAGAGTGAGAAACATGTCACTGAGCTTTGCTACTCTTTCCATTTCTTGTTCACTTCAAGGCAACTGAGCTCTCTGGATTTGGGGGGCAGGGTGTTATTATTTGTCTACATGAAGTATCAAAAATCTGTTAAAAAATCAGGGGGACTGAGTGGGCGCAAATATTGTTTGAGGGGGCCTGACCTTATTTACAGGATCCAAAGCAGCTTAAAGGAGGTCGTCATTGACGTGAATTTGTTCGGAGGTTTTTTGTCTTTCCTTTAGCAAAGAAAGCTTGCAACAGGATGTAACCTCGTAACCTCAAATCAGCTAGTTGCTTTCTTTCATTCAACAATAATCGCTATCTTTTACTACTGTTATGAAATCAACTTTTGCTGATTTAACTCTTTTTGCAAGACTCAGTAATGAATTCAGAGCCACCTCATTCACCATTGCTCACAGCAGCCTTGATGTTTCTCCAGCTCAAAGCAACCACACTGAGATGAAGAAGGTCCAGGCCTGTGAGATTGATCAATATAACCAGTTTAGGAGAACAATAGAAGAGAGTGCGCAAGCCACTTCAAGGCTTTGTCCTTTGGGGCATTCCCTAAAACTGGTGCTAAATCACTGTCTGAGACGGTGGTAGCTTAGACAATGCAGATGACCAGAATATCTGATAGAAGAGGAGGCACAAAATCTGGATTAGGGACTACCATTTACCTAGTATCAAACTGGTAGTTTGACCTGATGGTAGTTTAAGCTGTTAAACTGGTAATATAAACCTCTCATGAGTACTAAGCATGGAGTTTGAAAGTGAGTTAAAATGGACAAAGCAGCTGTGGTTTTTTAATGCTTGTTTGACATGCATGAAAATATTCAACTTACTGTAATGACTGGTTGCCCCCCACACCCCCTCTGGCCCCACCGGGTCTCTGGGCACTCTTTGGAGAGCTGGGAAGGTTATACCATGGGAGGAAACATCTCTTCCATCCCTGGAGCAAATGGGAGAGGCAGTTATGAGCTCTGAATGCTCCCAGCCTCCCTTATGCCGCCAGGTGATGAGCGAGCTTCATGTCCTCCTGATTTCGGTTTCTTGCTCTTCAGCAGAAGCCTGAAGGAGGGAAGAGAAGTCAGGCCACAGCACTGTGCTGGTTTTTTTTTTTTTTCTTAAACTGGACATGCCGAGAGTGGAAATTCACATTACATGCAGGCAAGCTGGAAACAATAATTTTTGTTCACATGATTCAACAGTAAGCGCTCTCTTTATTACCCTGCCCTTCCTTTGTGCGGTGTTTGTGCTGTGTTGCTCGGCAGTGTTGCAGGGAACGGTTTCAGAATGATGACGTACTTGGGAGAAGAGGCAAATCAGGCGAAGGATACAAGGGAAAGGACAGAGCTAAAGGAAAGAAGCCAAATCTGTACTTTAGATAAGCTGTCTCAGACATAGATCTCATTGTAGAACAGACCTTGTCTCATTTTTAGAAAGTTAACGCACAGGTCCAACAAGTTACAAAACTGGTATTTTCCCTTGTTGTTTCACTTAGCAGAAACTTCTCAAAGCTTGTTTTGCTTTCTTCAAGAGCAGCTTTTCAAGGACATGTTTCAGTTTACTGAAAACATTACAAATCTGACACATACTTCTGTGCCGACTGGGTGAGGTTGCTTATGGATGCTCAAATGCAAGTGGTGGGGAGGGGAAGGAGCATGGTTAGCAGGCTTGGAGGAGGCCCTCTGCCCCTCCAGGG